TGACCGACAACATAGCCGCCAAAGCTTACATCAACCATGAGGGCGGCACGCGGTCCCTGGCTCTGATGTCGGAAGCGGAAGCTCTGGGTCGCTGGGCAGAGAGACACTTGGCCTCAATTCGGGCAGACCACATCTCCAGCGTAGACAACGTAGCAGCAGACTGGTTAAGCAGAACCACCATCCAGAACTCGGAGTGGAGGCTGCACCCGAGACTATTCTGCCAGCTGTCACAGAGGTTCAGCCATCCAGTGGTCGACCTGTTCATCTCACCGACCAATACGCACCTCCCCGGTATTTCACCAGGTTCCACTGTCCCGGGGCAGAAAGATCCGAAAGATCCTGGAGGAGGGGGTGGAGGTGTTGCTAGTAGCTCCACACTGGCCGAGGAGGACTTGGTTCACCGACCTGGTCAGTTTGTCGGTATCCCGGCCATGGCTCATACCTCAGGAGCAAATCTCCCTCAGCCAGTGGGCCGTTCAACACCCGGAGCCCCAGTGGCTGCAGTTGGCCGTCTGGCACTTGAGGGGGATCTCCTGAGGCTTCACTGTTTTTCTGACAGAGTCATCCAGACTATTCAAGCGTCTAGGCGACCCTCCACCATCAGAATTTACGAAGCGACCTGGTCGTGCTTCTCACGTTAGTGCCTCAACTGTCAAATAAGTGCTTCGTCCGCAACCATCCCACAAGTCCTGGACTTTCTGCAGGACAGTTTGGACAAGGGCCTCGTGCCCAACACTCTCCGTCGACAGGTGGCTGCCTTGGGCACCATTCTGTCCACTGACTCTCAGTTATCACTTTCTAGACATCCCCAGGTTCAGGGTTTCCTGAAAGGGGCGTCCAATATCTGCCCACCCACCATCCACAGGTACCCCACCTGGGACTTGACTGTTGTACTACAGGCGCTTGCCGTGCCCCCCTTTGAGCCATTGCGGATGGTGCGCCTGCGCCACCTGACCCTAAAAACTGCCTTTCTGGTTGCCATCACCTCGGCCCGCAGGATATCGGAGTTGGCTGCCTTGTCGGTTAGAGGTGACCTATGCATCTTCCACTCCGATAGAGTCATCTTACGGTTGGATCCTGCTTTCGTCCCAAAGATCAACACTGTTTTCCACAGAGCGCAGGAGGTGATACTTCCGGACTTCTGTCTGCGGCTCAGGCACCAGAGAGAGGTAACGTGGCACAAGTTGGACATTCGGCGTGTGGTACGCATTTACATGAAGCGGACCGCTCCCTTTTGTAAGTCGGAAGTGTTATTTGTCTCACTCCAACCTGCTTCCATGGGAAAGAAGGTCACATCCTCCACCATTGGACGCTGGCTCAGAGCAAGTATAAAAATGGCTTATGAGACTCAGGCCAGGCCGGTTCCTCCTCATATTACCGCACATTCTACGAGGAGCGCAGCAACTTCGGCTGCTTGGGCTACTCAAGCGCCAATTGAGGAAATTTGCCGTGCTGCTACGTGGTCTGGTCCGTCTTCATTCATACGAAACTACAAACTTGACACATTCGCCTCCAGTGAGGCATCATTTGGGAGGAGAGTTTTGCAGAGTCATGGCGAGCACCGCAGCCCCGGACAGTTCTTCTTCCCTCCCGACTTCGACATAGCTTTGGCATGTCCCGTGCTTGGACACTCCAAGCAGCGCTTAGGAGAAAGACCGTTGGCTTACCTGAATGGTCATTCTCTAGGCACTGCAGAGTGTCCGAACCCACCCTTGAGGTGGGGCCGCGAGGTGTGTTTTCACTTTATGTCTTGGACTTGGACTGGTTTGAGTTATGGACTATGGAATCTCCTTCGTTTTTCGAAACTGAGCCTCTGAGGCAACCAAGATCAATTTTAAAACTCAGTTCCTTGGGCAGCAAGCTGAAGTTAACCCATGCTTAGACACTCCGCAGCACCTAGAGAATGACCATTCAGGTAAGCCAACGGTCTTTCTATTTCTTCTACTTTGTTTAAATAAACAAATAGTTTCTACATATTTTTTCCATTTTCATCTTTGTGAGGTTTTTTAAATGATTCAAAAGTTCTCAAATCTGTTCAATTTTTTTGTTTAGCAAAAGGTTGGTAGAATTTCAAACAAACTTGTGCATATTTTTTGTTTGTTACTAAATACTTTTTCAACTATGATAGCTTCCTTAATATATTAAGAGAATTAATATTGATTGATTACTATATTTTTAATTATATATCTTTTGCATAATTGGTAATCCAGAAGAATTGAAAGCAGAATGAAAACTATCAATTATCATTGGAATCTATCATACTGTGCTTTTAGAAGATATATTACTTAATAGACTGCTTTAGTGAGCAATCTATCTAGTCCAGGGATCAGCAGCCCACAGCTCTGGAGCCGCATGTGGCTCTTTCAGCCCTCTGCTGTGGCTCCCTGTCGGCTGATCCCACCACTGGATGGCCACATCCCTCCTCTCCTAGTCACACCACCTAGCTTGAGAAGGTAAGGGTGATGGCAGGGGATGGAAACTTGCTTCATATTCCAGAGCTGGCATGAAGCGCCCCTGTACATGCCTTTGCACGGCAACAGCATTCCGGCTTTGTCGTAGTACATTTGTGCTCAAGGCAGCCCTCACCTCCCCCCACTTTGGGCTCGGGGCTGTAAGCCACTTTGGGCTCGGAACTGTTGCCACCTCCATGGCCTGCCCGCTGCTTTTGCAGCGACTTGCACAGCACAGTGAAATTTAGCGTGCTTCCCAATAGGGGAGATAAGATCCCCTCCTCCCGGAGCCCATTACAATGCAGGGCTGCAATGTGACCCTCCCCACTTGCCCCTGGCAACAGCAGCGGTGTCAGCTGCAATGTGGGTTGAGCCAGTGACTCTGGGTAGAGAGCAGCTCACATGTCTTCCTGAGCACCCAAGGTGTATCCAGCACCTACAAGGGCTGGAAGAAGCACCCGCAAGACCCAGCAAGAAATGCGCAGTTTATCATTTTCACAAGTTGCCTCTATGCCTCATTCAAGATCAGGATTTTTATGGGCTTTGCTGTTGGAGGGTTTATATCCTCTCCCTTTCAGGTATTTGAATATCTTGTAAGATGATGCAACCTCATCCAGGTTTTATATGAATAGTTCAGTCCTGCAAATGCTTTTATAGACGCTACATTGGCTTTTGGGTCCTTCTGAATATTTTTGCCTTAGATCCTGATGAGACTGGCTGCAGAAAGCAATTTACTCCCAGAGTTAGCCTTAGATTTTAGAAAGTATTTATCAAATCTAAATAGCCATTCAGCTCACCAAAGGTGACTCTGGGTGGCACACAACAATGAGATTAAAACTATATAAAACTATAAATGCAAAGCATAAAAATTCATATTAATAAAGTAGCCACCCGCCATTTCCTGCTGCAGTCTGTTGGGCAGCGAGACTCAGCTAGAGATGAGGCGCTGGAGAATCAGACTGAGATAGATGGGGGAGGGGAGAGAGAGACAACATTTTTACAGAACTATAGATATGTTGAGGCCTTTGAGATGGGAAGCAAGCAGAGGCCAGGATGACAAGAGGGGGCTAGGAGGGGTGAGGTGGGGCTAGGCAGGGCTGAGGGTCATATGACTGGGTGTGAGTGAGTGACGTCGAGTTGTTCATGGCCATCCAGATTTTGTGGCTCCTGGTGTTTTCTTTTCTGTGGGAAACAAGTCCAAATGGCTCTTTGGGTGTTTAAGGTTGCCAACCCCTGATTTAGCCCAATATTGTTGATGCTGAATGCCAAGGGATCCTTTCTACCTTTGTGAATGCAGTTTTAATTTTTAAAATCTATTAACAAAATGGAAGCTTTTAGCCAACAGTGGAGGAAAAATATATAGTTGGTCTAATGTTCAGAACTTACCATGTGTTAAAAAAAACTTTGCTTGGTTAAGGTAGGATCCTTTAGAAATTATATTAAATTAAATTTACCACAAGGAAGAAAGTTCCAGAATGTTTGTGAGGCGTATATGATAGTCTTCAATCTTAGCTCCACTGACTAATTTGTGGAGAGTAAATTTTAATCTGCTATTAAAGCTGTAGTTGATAGATCTAAATTAAATTGAATAAAACACATACTTCTAGAGCTTACATATAAAGCAATAAATGGTGTTTGAGAGAGCAGAACTAGGAAATGACATTTAGGTAACATGCAGTTCATTAGTTGTTTTTTAGTAGATGTTATAGCCATCTTGATGCTGAAAGAAAATCACAAATCTGTTTGACTGAAGATCAAAATTGAATTTATTTTCGGAGAGTATCATAAAATGTGGAAGTATATTTCAGATGTACTGAATAGTTACTGCTGAAGATTCACTTGTCATCTGTGCAAAATTTTGTTATTATTATCTGAAGATAAATATTGCTAGTAGATAGTTAATTGGCCATACCTGCAAAAACCATATTTTACAAAGATATCTATGATCTAGTGATCTGTGATTAAACCCTATTTCATCTTTAAAATAATTAATGGGAGAAATAAAATGACTTTCCAGAGCTCAGTCTCATGGGTAAGACATTGTACTCTTCTATTTCATTGATTTTCAATCCTTTCAAAACTATTTGTCATGTATTAGAAAACTGGATATCCATATACCTTTCACTATGGACAAATGATAGTGGGGAGCAATATATTTAAACAGCATATCATTTGCTTGGTTCAGTATAATTCTTGTCATTTCTTTACATATCATTGTTCCTATTGATTTAAAAATTGCAGTTGGTCATCCTCCAGAACTATCTGTAAATACTATATCTCCATTCACTTTGTAGCATGGATACCATTCCTGCTACCTACATGAGAAAACATATCATCTGAAAATATCTGTAACGATTACAAAAACCAGTGGTTGTGAACTGTAGTTCTTACCAAGAAATAAAGAACTATAAAAGATCTATATAAAGCCTAGTAAATAGACAATATTTACAGTTAACTTAAGTTCTGTGGAATAAGGCATCTTTCTCATTGAAATGGGAAATGCTTTTTCAAAAATTGGAACTTTTTGGGGTATGATTAATTTGTTTTTTCTTTGATTACAGGAATACATTTGCATGTGTGACACTGGATGTATTGACCACTTTCTCTACTTTGGAATATGAAGCCTAACTTCAGCATCTCAACATTTGTTGTGGTAGCAGCAATTTTGTGCTGCTTGATGTCATCAACAGAGGCAGATAGTAAGTAATTTCCTGATGGAAATATGTTATGGTTAGGATGGTTGTAAGATTGTTTCATAAAAAGTTAGCTTTCAAATGACAGAATGTAAAGGTAAATCATCAATTTTTAGTTTGTATGATGCTAGCAAACAAATCATAAATTTACCATAAGTATATTGAATTCATTAATTGTCTTTCATTACTAAATTTCACTCAGTATGCATAAATACCAGGACAATTCTTGATTATAAATTTTGTCCAATATCATGTTTTCATTTCTTTAATATTAATGTTGTTTCTTTTCTTGTAATGTTATAAATTTTTCACATGCAAAGGATTCTATATTTTTTATATAGTTTTTGTGCTCCCACTTAGGATTCATTGACTTTGAGAAAGAAAAGAAAGGAAAATATATTTTTTCATAGTTAACTACAATATAGAAATCTTTACACATTTTAGTAACCCTTTTCCTTTTGAATGATAATTATATATTGTATTATCTGTTTAGGAAATTGGTTATAAGCACATTTGGATCACCAATCATGAAAGTAATTGGGTTTATATTATTAAGTACATGTGTTCTTAAAGCCTTTTACTTTCAGCACTGAGTGGCGTATGAATACATATACATACTAACTGTATATTTACATATATGTATCTACACATACAATTTTTATATATGGTTAAATTACCATTTAATGTTTGACTAACTATGGAGAATCTGCATGTGCCTCCTAAGAATAGGGAAGACTTTGAGATTATTGACAGGATCTGAGAGAGGAGATTGCACTAATTTATAGATGTTTATAATGGCAGAATTTCTTGTGATAACTCAGTCTCAGAAGGTGTTATGGAATTTTAGCCTAGATGTCAGGGTTCCAAGTAACACCCCCAACCAAAGAAGACTCCGAGGCTTGAAGTTCCTCAAAGTTCCATTTTATTAGATTGGCCATGTCAATCACTAAGAATTTATTCATTGTAGTGGTTTAATTGCTCCACTAATATGAATCAGATAATAATATTTTATGATGTTCATCTGCAACAAATATAATGACATGCATCTGATTAGGAAAAATAAAAAGATACAGGATTGGAGAGTTCTGCTTAGTGATAATGCACGTGACATGGATTGAGGAGGACTGACTGATGACTAGATGAACATGGACAGGCAATGCCTTGGAGCAGCTGAATAGACTAATGCAGTCTTTACTTGTATAACAAAATAACTGCATTTTGATCATGAAAAATAATACTCTGTGCTAGATAGTTTGTACTTGGAATACAATCTTCAGTTCTGGGCATTGCAGTTTAAACAGACATAAAGGAACTGTAGAAGACTCAGATAAACATTACCAAGCTAAAAAGGATTTGGAAACCAAATCTTATGAAGAACAGTTAATGGAACTGCATACATTCGGCTTGCCAAGCTATCGGGTACAAGAGGAAGCAGAGTTCTTCTTTGCTGAAACTAAGATCAGGATAAGGACCAATGGGATGTAATGAAAAGAATTGATATGCAGGCTTAATATAAAGAGGTATATTCTCATGATGAGAATTGTTTAGTAGTGGAATGAATCTCTTATCTATTGATCAATCGAACCATTGATCTATCTCAAGATGGAGAACATGTCCAACACCTCTTCCTCCTCCTATTTTCCCAACAACAACCTTGTGAGATCAGTTGGGATAATAGAGAGTGACTTACCCAAAGTCACTTTTATAGCTAAGGCAGGTCTACAATTTATAGTCTCCTGCTTTCGAGTCTGCATTTACTGCATTTGGTGAAAAAAATATGTCAAAAGTTGGATTCAAGGATTGATGCAAATTTTAAAATTCCATTGTAGATAGATGCTTGCTCCTACTGCTGAGTAAATTTATAAAAAATCGAGATTAAATGTTCATTGCTGTATCCAGGGAGATTACAACAGAGAAATAAGAGCCAAGGTGGCGCAGTGGTTAAATGCAGCACTGCAGGCTGACTGCTAGATCAGCAGTAGGAG